CTCACCACTATAAATAGTATAATATAAATATACTTTCTCATGAATTTGAAATTCACACTTTTGCTAGCAACGTTATCAAGCAGCTTTGCTCAAGCAGCTTTGATATAAATCAAGCAGCTTTGATCAGTAAAGCAAATTCTGGGCAGCTGAGTCCTTAAGTCATTTAAATTGCCTTCTGAATCTGATAGCTTGACTTAATGGATCAAATGCCTGAAGTGAGGTTAGCATGTAAGCTGGTTACAGTTGGGGTTATATAATATAGTTGAGGGCAAACTGTTCAAATTGTCCAAAGCAATGGGAGTATTATATCCATACATGTATAATAATGTGTACCAGGCATTTAGGCATTGTGATTGCTGGACCTGTATCCATGGCAATTTAACGACACGCTCAACAAATGAGGCTCTTTTAGGGTGGGTATGTATGTCATCCATCTGATTTTCAATACAAGTAATGTTGCTGCTTGAAAACATTGCTAATTAATTAGTCACTTTTGGAGTTTTGTTATTGTTTTCCTCCTTTTCCATGTTGCTGTCACAATTTAAATTTTAAACAGAGTTTGACGTGTCCAATGTCACTATTTCATTTTCTATATATTGCCATCTCAATGCAATGTTGTCCATTGGAATTTACCCTAACTAACAGGGTAAATTCATCATAACTTTTCGAGATTACCTCACAAATGGCAGAATGGTCCTATTCTTTAGGGATAACTTGAACAATCCTATTCGATATGCTGTGTTACGCATGCATGTATGCATGGTCCAATTGAACCATGTAATACAGTCTAAGCTACTGTATTCAGGGCATTTTTTAACTATTATAATATAACTACTGGGGCATACCCCAGTAGTGAAGCAAGATTCTCAGATGAACTGGCCTGGGCCCTTTTGATCATTATAGTAAAAAGTCAACCTTGCTGAAAAAGCTGCATCTGCCTGCTTTCTCATATCCTCTCACATTCTCAACATTCCATCTTATAAAAGTCAGAACAGTCAAGGGTGGTGCTAAACGGGTGGGTGGTGGATGGGTGTGGGTGTTGGAACACCCCCAGTCATCAGGTAATCGGCAAATTATCTAATCCCAGTTGGATAGGAAGGAACGAAATTAAAATATTTGAGTGACACTGATTAAAAACTATTATTTATTACAAATTTCACCATTAAAACTTTGTTTTGAGCACAGGCGGCCCAATCTCGCAAAGGTCAGTATAGTAATCACTAATGTATATTATTGTAAAAATATGTCATAAAATATAAATTTTAAATGAATAAATTGACTTGCCTATTTGATTAGTTTGTATTCTCCTTTTATTCCTCTTTTGTTGGACTAATATTTTCCGAGACTTTGGAAAATATTAGTCCAACAAACGAGGAATGAAAGGAGAATATATACTATCAAGTGGGCAAGTCAATTTCATTGTAAACTATTTTTACTATAATATACGTTATTATACTGACCTTGCGAGATTGGGCCGCGTGTGTTTTGAGAAGATGAGATTTTTTAAAAAATGTGTTCTCAGAATGCAGGAAATGCTATTTCAGAGACCCGAATTTTAAAAATTTCCTGGGGGCATGCCCCCAGATCCCCCTAGCTAACTCATGCCTGGGGTACTCGGCTCAAACCTTCGCCGATTGCATACTATCCTGGGGAGAGGGCAAAGAAAATGGGCCTTTTGGCAGTATTGCCCCACCACTGAAAAATCCTTAAAAAATGCACTGACTGTTTTTGCCTTTTTCTCACTTTACAAATTCTGACACTCACTAAATATATATTATGCCTACAGATAATAATTTTAAATTGTACTGGATTAATATTAACTTGATTAATTAATACTAGATTAATACTAATACTATATTTAATAAAAAAATCATACCCATTAACTTAATGTTAACTTAACTCACTAGGTGGTTGAACCTGATATTGAAACCTTAATTAATATATATTTATTATATGCCCAAAGTTTTGGAATGATTACCTAGTACTGGTCAATTATCTAGGATCAACATATATGGTAGACGAATGTCAGGGTTTAAGTTGGGTAAAATTCCCTTGTCCAGGGAATACAGTAGCGATTTCTTATAGGGGTACACTGGAACTCCGATTGTTCAGAGTTCCGGTACTGGCCGGAACTAATAAAAAACCATGGCTGGAACCGGAACTTTGTCGTTTTCAGAGAGACAGAATATCAAGTTTATTTATTGAATAGCATAGGAAGAAATTTGGATTACACAAGAAAAATGTTCACTATTAACACTTCATTTATGACGTTTAACGTTAGTCAATCTTTTTATTCTAACATTTGCGAGCTCTCTCCTTGATGACTGAAAGTGTCTTACTGTTTGGCAGCAGACAAAGTAACATATGACCACATATTGCTTAATGAATCAGTTCCGGCCGGAATTTTTTCCAGATCCGGTTTCGGCCGGATCCACTTTAAAAATTGGTTCCGGTGCACCCCTAATTTCTTATACTGCCATTGGGCCCTAACGTGCTGTGGATGCTCAATTTGGGGAGAGGTGGAAAACTCATTAACCTGACCCCTCTCAACAAATTGGGGGTTCTGTTTCAGGTTCCCCCTGTCCCCTCATTTTCCTACCTCTCCTTTGACCTAATGCCATGTTCATGTTTTTGCCTTGATATTGCATGGAGCTAGGCGTCGTTATGAACACTGGTTGAAGTTACAGAACACCCTAGATTTTACTTTTACATTTTACTCAAAGGCATTACCAAAATGAAGTGATCGAGCAGAATAACAACTTGGATATCATTTCCTCAGGCCATTGCTCAGGCACAGAGAATACCTATACAGGATCACCGACTATAAACCGCTTGCTTTATCACTGGTTAATGTGAATCAGATTATCTTTCCAAATGCAGGAGGCGGACAAATTAGCGTTAGGTGTGAAAAACAACGCCAAATGTTTGCAGCTTGTTTTCAGCCGAATGAATTTTGCGATATATACACGCATTCAAAGGATTCAAGACCAAAGTAAAGTCAGAACGTTTCAAAGTTTTTTTTTAAATCGAATTAAGTAAGTTACAGGCTTTTAGATTGTTTTGTGTAACAAAATAGGTCTAGAAAGAAGTACATCTAGCTTGATAACGCTTGAAGCAATCGAAAATGTTTTATAGATCAGTCATCAAGGAGTGTAGAGAGGACATTGGTATAGAATATACAGCATGAGTTTTCTGATTTGTTCTAACAGGATCTTTTGGCTTTGTGAAAATATGGCCTAAAGTCAAATATGGTTTTAAGGCAACCTTAATATTACAATTACTTAAGATTCTCTTAATTGGTTCTGTGACACCTTGAATGTACTTATGTATGTATGGAACAATTGCATAACCCTTAGCAGAGGTATCACCCTCGGAGTTATTTTCAATTGGTTCCTACAAACAGGTGATCTCAGGCAATCATTGAGAAAACGTTTTGGGTAATCGTTTCCCCCTAAAACATTTAGTATATATTCACGTTCATTAGCTTGAGAATCACTCTTTGAAGCAAAGTTTTTGCTACGGATCTCTTATGGCTTACTGGATGATCAGAGTCGTATGACAAATATTTGTTTGTGTGTGTGGGTGTGCGATAAACATCAGTCTCTAACTTCCCTTCGACAGTTCTGTGAACATTCAAATCTAAGAAAGCTAAATGTCCATCCATCTCACGTTCTACCGTGAATTGGATGGACGGCTCGATACGAGTCAATAGAATTTAAATTTAGCTTTTTTAGATTTGAATGTTCACAGAACTGTCGAAGGAAAGTTAGAGACTGATGTTTAACGCAAATCCACACACACAGACAAATACTTGTCATACGACTCTCATCATCCAGTAAGCCATAAAAGATCCGTAGCAAAAACTTTGCTTCAAAGAGCTGAATCCTTGCGGTCAAACAGTGATTCTCAAGCGAATGAACGTGAATATGTACTAAATGTTTTAGGGGAAAACGATTACCCAAAACGTTATCTCAATGATTGCCTGAGATCACATGTTTGTAGGAACCAAAATAACTCCGAGGGTGATACCTCTGCTAAGGGTTATGCAATAGCTCCATATATTCAAGGTGTCACGGAACCAATCAAGAGAATCTTAAGTAATTGTGGTTGCCTTAAAACCTATTTGACCTCAGGCCATATTTTCGCAAAGCCAAAAGATCCTGTTAGAACAAATCAGAAAACTCTTGCTGTATATTCTATACCATGCGGTGATTGCGAGAAAGAGTATTTGGGTCAGTCTAAACGCCAGTTTGGTACACGGCTAAAAGAACATCAAAAGGCTGTTTCAACTTTAAACAAGGGAAAATCAGCTTTAGCGGAACATGTGTGTAACACCAAACACGAGATTGCGTGGGAAAACTCAGTAAAGTAATTACCACAAACAATCGCTATGGTCAAAGACTTTGCCTAGAAGCGTGGCATATAAATATGTCGAGTAATCATGCTTTGAATAGGGATGACGGTACCTATATGCCAGAGGAATACAGTACATGCATCTCATTGGCAGGTGACGTCATCCCTTGGGTATTTAAGAAGCCACGATTACAACTTTTGATCACCCTTGATGAAGACACGAGAGACGTTGTATACCAACGTTGATCCAAACCCGCATTTTTCCCATGAAATTTCCTCCAAGATTTACCAACTGGGAATGTATACACATTAACAATGAATTAATGTAAAAATAATCAGTTTACCTCAAATAAAAGCCCTATTTTCTGGCAATTAAACGAAATATAATGCATATAGTTATACTGCAAATAATTATGGTTAAACGAATAAAGATACAAGGCGCCATATTTTTCGTTGTGATCAACTAAGATACGTACAGCATCTCAAACGCAAAGATACAGTATCGCCATGTAATTTCCACGAGGATAAACTCGTTCCTGTCCACTTTTGATCGAGCCGAGCGTTAAAGTCCCGGCTACATAATCCCCTTGAATTATAGATTTGTTATTTACCCTGTATCGTAGGTTCTCAGCGTTGCGCCGCCAATTCATTCAACTTTAAATATATATACTTCATGTAATATATCAGTATTGTGATTGACGTAATTCAAACTAAATCGTAAATAAGTCTTTGTATGTGTAAATTGATACGTCACAGTGACACATTGTAATTTGGTAGGGTAATCAAATAGCTAGGGAGTGATTGAATGTCATTGTTGCTGTCAGATCGTAGCGAGACAATCGGAATGTTTAACAGTCTAAAACTCACGTTGTAAATACTTTCACATAATACAATCAATACAATTATAAAATACAGTCCCTTGAGCGTTTACTGAATGAACCAGACGGTGGAATCACAAGTTCCACAACACCCTGTACCCCGGAGGAAATGTTATATTATTTCCCGGGGGTCGGGGAGCCGGGGTTTTAATTGACAGAATGCATAAAGCCCTCTCTCCCCATCTTTGCTTCGAGCTTCACTCGCTGATCATAAGGATCAGGTTTTGCGATTCGAGTTATGTAAGTCTCAAGAAAGAAAGGTGCCTGTGAGTGAAACCCCAACATACGTTACTCAACAATGTAAACATTATGCGAGATATCAAAACCATTTTCTGATCTTATTTAGGGGTGCACCGGAAAGTGCTTTTTGCTATGCGTCCGGATACCGGATATGCTGGATAGTTGTAAAATATCCGGCCGGATATTTTGGATAAAAATGCATTCATGCCTGATGTGATTTAATAACCACATAAGACATGCATGGCATTCTAATAAAGAGCTAGAGCAAAACTTTACATTCGCTGTTTATTTGTTAAACATGTTAGCTAACAAAAGTACGTTCAATTTTTTGTGTTAATGCTTTTTTATTATTTTACAAGTAACAGAGATTGAATAGCACGCTAATTCACAAACTATCCGGTTTACGTTAAATGTTTTTTTTGTTATTATACAAGTAACAGAGATTGAATAGTACGATTTTCTCACTATCCGGCCGATGCACCCCTAATCTTATTTTTACAGTATTTCACAGTAGAGCCTTTCATTATTATTTAATAGTTTTAATTTATTCTTCTCAACGTGCATCATGTTAGTTGATGTTTTAAGTGTTTGTGTTATTGTTTAGGCAAGTATGTAAATCGTCTCCGTGGTGCTGACAAGAACATCGAGACATTTCCTTGTCCTACATGTCGCTCAGAGTTTTCGCTCAAGTCAAACCAAGATGTTGCCGATTTGGCAAGTAATTATTTCATCAAGAATATGCTAGAAATCATGGCAATTGAACGGAAAGCGAAAGAGTCTACTACGTGTTCACGCTGCCAAGAATCTGCCATCAATCACTGCACAACATGCAGAATATTTATGTGTCAGAAATGTTCAGAGTCCCATGATAGCTGGCTAGCGATGAAACTAAGCCATAATGTGCTATCTGTCGAGGAATTGAGCGATCCTGAAAGTCAAGTGAAAATGAGAAGCAAACTTTATTGCATGAAACACGAAGACAAAGTACTCGAATATTATTGTGAAACCTGTAAGGAACTTAGCTGTATACATTGTATGGTGTTAAATCACATAAAACAAAACCATTCATGTGTGGCAGTGAGTGAGGTCGCACAGAAGCAAAGAGAGACATTGCAATTAAGCTGCACAACACTTGACGAGAAATTGTATGAAGGAAAGGAAGCGCTAAACAACATTTGTGAGGTGATGAAGTCTCTTGAAAAGAACGCCAAAACTGCTAAAGAACAAATCGAAGAACAAAAGGAAAATATCTTGACCGTTGTGGCAGAAAAAGTCAATGAAAAAGCTGCGAAAATGAAAGAGGAAGTGGGCAAGGTTTATGGTGAATTGCACAGCGAACTGAGCAAGCAACATGATGAAATCAAAGATTATCTTGATAAAGTCCAGACTTCAGTATCCTTGCCAAGAAGTCTGCTAAAGAGAGGAAGTATAGAAGAAATTCTCTCATCACAAAAATTGATTGATGAAAATATTGAGAAGTTGGGAGATGAGAAGCCAGAGAATTTGGCCGCGGTGAATGATGGTGATATTCAGTATGTACCTGACGACATTGATAATATCAATGTTGACGAAATTGTTGGTAAATTGGGTCATTTAGAAGGTATATAGAATACTACACAATATTGTCAATACAATTTTTATCATAAATATCAATGTCTAGCAAATTTTTTGACAACTTTATCTTAGTATGGCTAGTTTGGGTCTAGAAGACCCTTTCCTCTCAAAACTAAATTAAACTGAAAAGGAAATTTTCGAGTATACAGTAGGGCTTGCGCATGAAAATGGTAGGTTTGAATTCATATAGGGTGCAAATTTAGAAGATGTTTAAAGAAGTACCAGACAATTGACAGCGACCTCTTCAACTTGGACGTTTTTGCCATAGTGTAGCCTTTCACGCATAATTTTTAATGTTCTAGATCTTGTGAAGAATATACGTAAAATGTCAATCATGCATAGAACTATTCATGCATAACATCAGTCATGCGTGTGCTAAATTATTCGTGAAAGGCAACTATGGCAAAGTTTTAGAGGTCGTGCGTAGGATTTAATGTATGTACTTCAAATTGTCTAATACTTTGACAGTTCATAAAACACCTTCCACATTTGCACGCTATGAATTCAACTTGCGTTTTAAACCTGGCATAGGTGTGGACATGAACTTGGAACCTGGCTGGAATTCAGTTTTTCCAATAATTTAGAGTTAATGTCCTCACCGTTTAATAAATATATATATATTGAGATATTTAATATAACGACACGCATAAGAACACAAGGTTTGTGGGGTTATGGAAGTGTGGGACAACTGCTCTATATATTGTATTTTTTATCTGCGAAGAGCTGGGTGCTGAGCGGTTCCCAGGGCATATACTCGTATTGAAAAGTTGGATCTTGGGGAAAGTCGATTAGGACATATACTGATTTGCAGCTGGGTCCTAATCTGCCCAAGACATATACTTTTACGGATTTAGAGCTGGGTCCTGAGTCGGCTAGAACATATACTCCATTTAGAGCTGGATCCTAGCCTGCCCTGCAAGACATATACTCTGAGCTGGGCCCTGGGAAAAAATGATCAGGGAAATATTTCTTAGAACCCTGATCTGGCTCAGCACATATACTCATATGCAGAAATAGAGTGATTTTTGTAAATGGGAATTGGCTGTATGCCAGGTTGCCAAATTCCGTAAAGAAAACGTGAGGTCTATGGTAAAATTGCGACCTCATACTAGAGCAATTGCCTCAAACACTTCATCCTTTATTTATTATTTTATTAAATACATAATAACATTGATATAACAGTCTAGTGAATGTCGATAAGCGTTTAATATCCAACGAAGATAATATTTATATATAGATCTAAATATAGTTCAATGTTCCCGAGAATTCAATATCACTCCCTAGGCGGGCCCATAACATACCGTAATTACTTCCAAGTACCATCTTGTACCATCTCGTTACATCAGGGAAAAGGCTGGAGCATGGGGTGGTTGGTGGGTGACTTTTTTAAATCAGTCTTTACAGCTCGCAATCCAAGTAAGAATGATATAGGCAGATAAAGCTAACTCGGATATCTGCCCATGTTTAACTATAGTTTCATTGTTATAGTTATGAATAGGTCAAACATAGTGGTTTGGACAATAATTAATAAACGATACTGGGTGCAGTAGCCTACGGGTTTGGCAAGCAAATAATGAAAGTCTGTGATAGAGTCTTCCTTTGTTTAGACAATAGTAGCTTTCGAGTTGGCTTAACATAGACATTTTAAATCTATAATTTTTAGGTCTAGCGCATTGAGTATCGTCCATTAACAATAATTTGTACTCGTAAAAATTACCATTTAATTACTCGGGTACATAATCATAACTAACCACGCTAACTAAGATACATGTGCTGGTTGATTGACATATGATAATTGATATATTAATAGATCAAGTTACTACAGGGGTCACTGTTCTTTTTTTCAAGTTAAATTAGTTTAATTAAAGCCAGAAAATCGGCCATATTGAGACACCATGATTACAATAGTAGGGAGTTTAACAACATTTTTCGTTTTCGTAATCCTGATTAGGGCAACGTTACAAGCGAGTTTCGTGATCTTATCTTACAAAACAAAGAAATAATAGGCCTATTATTTCTTTGTTTTGTAAGATCAAATCAAATCAAATCAAAGCATTTATTTCAACACGATTAAATTCACAGCATAGCTGATGTGGTCGTGAATAAGATCACGGGTTGAAACACATCCATACGCTATAACATTAAAATTGTAGGGAGCCACCTTAAAAACCAGTATTTTTGTGCCATTTGTAAGCCTATATATATTTAATACCTTCACCTATTAATGTGCGTTCTTCCAAAAATTAATTAGGTAAAAATTCTAATGTTCAAATTGCTATAACTTTTGACTGGCTGCACCGATTTTTATGAAATAAACAATAAAATGTTTCAAATGACGAGCTCTCTCAAGACAATTTATTTTGGAAGGCCCACAGTTAATATGAAATTTTGACTGTTGTTTCATTTTGCATTTGTTTTAGACAATAAAAATCTACACCCAGGGTCAGTTTGACCGCAAGGTTATACAAGTAAGTTTTCCTCGATTGATTGTTGATTAGTCAGAAACCATCAGTACGGAAAAATTAAAGTCACTAGGCAGTCAGAGTAGAATACTAGTGATAAGCCTCTGAGTGTTCAATGCTGATGAATATGCATTAATACAATACAATACAATAATTTATTGAACGCTCCCCAACGGAGCTTTTCGGAGCCAATTAACATTTACAAAAAATTATAAGATTTACTAACATGAAATTCTAACTAACTAATTACTGGTGTGGATGTAAAAATTGTTAAAGGCCAAATGCTACTATGAATGATTTCCTGAAAGATATTTACGTAATTTATGTTTAAAAATGTTAATTGATGAACCACATTTAATGTTCTTTGGAAGTTCGTTCCATAAGGAGACATCACGGTAATAGAATGTCCGTTGGCCAGTTGCTCTCCTGAAAAAGGGGATGTTTAAAGAACTTGAGTTCCTCGTGCAACGTCCACTGATGTCGACTCTCCTCACAAATTGTTGAGACAAAGATTCCGGTGTTATTCCGTTTAGAACATTACTATAATTCTTGTTCTTATGATACCAATTGAGAGAAGGGGTGGGTGGAGAGAGGGCATAATAGGTGGTCTTGTTGCATTTCACTTGATGGAAATTTTAATATGGGTTTTGTTGATGGATAAATCGAGTAGAAAAACATAAATACAATTTCAGACCTAACCAGGAACGGTTGCGAAAAATATGCAACTCCCAGGTCCTCATGAAATGTCAGGAAATGAACCCGCGGCCCTGCATTTCCGGTGGGCATGTAGTAAAACACTGACTACCGGAACACCGAAACACTACCGGAACACCACCGGAACACCACCTAACCCTAACCTTAACCCCCAACCCTAACCCCGAATCCCCAACCCTAACCCCCAACCCTAACCCCAAACAAAATGGTGGTGTTCCGGTGTTCCGGTGGTGTTCCGGTGTTCCGGTAGTCAGTGTTTTACTACATGCCAATTCCGGTGCCGCGTTTTGACCACTGATCTGCAGAGTCCAGTTGCCGAGCATTAACCACAAATTGTGTATATATTATAATGTATACGGGAGTAGTGCAAAGCGGGGCTTAATGGTCCCGTTTGATGCGCATAATTAATTAAGTTACCATAATAATTCATGAGTTATGCAAATTGTTGCATAATCGATGACGTATTTTTCTGAACCTTCTCTGATGATGATAAAACGTACAATGAGAGGTTTCCGATTAGCCGCCATTTTGTTTCAAGATGGCGGAAAGGTTAATAATGAAGGTTTACTTTTAAGGGAAAATAAGATTGAATTGAGTGAGAATACTTTTCGTTTTCATTTAAAAGTGCTTTTGGAAAAGCATGAGGGTTTATTTTTAATCAAGTAATGATTTAGAAACATACGATCCTTCTTTTGACTTCACCAAAATAAAATGTGATTATTATCTACCAAATGAAATTAAAACAAAAGACAACGAAAAGAGTTATTTCTCTTTACTACACTTAAACATAAGGAGCATATCTAATAAATTTGACTCATTTAAACACCTACTCAATTCCCTAGGAAAAGTAATAGGATTAACAGAAACGTGGCTAAACGATAACAACAACGATAATTTTAAACTAGAAGAATACGGAAAATACGTCATCGATTATGCAAATTTCATTAATTATACACTATACTTACGGGTGATGCGGGTTCTAATGTAATTTAACGATGGAAATTTTAATATGGGGTTTTGTTGATGGATAAATTGAGTGGAATAACATATATACAATTTCAGACCTAACCGGGAACGGTTCACGGCTGCATCACATAGTAGAGACATACAGAAACGTAACTAGTGTACCCACTTTTTTTTGCGCATGCTCGGCAAGTTACTAGATGCATGCATCTGATTGGATGACGACCTGATGACGACTCACTTTAAACTTGCTGAGCACGCGCAGTTGATCATTTTTTGCCCGGTCGCCTGAAAAAAAGTGGGTACATGATAACGTAATCTTCCGCAGTGTTTACAACGGTCAGTTACGTCTCTGTATGTCTTATCTATTCTGTGGCTGCATGCATGTGTCAGAAATTCCCCACATAAAAAAAATGATCGTCAGATATTTTTATTGATCATTTTTAGATGCGACAAGATTTCGAAAAGAGGGCGAAGGATCGCCACGATAATCTAATTCGAGTAATTGGATCGCTAAAGCGACAGCTTGCCGGCAGTCGGTAAGTATAAACATTGTTTAGACTATTTTAGTAAAGTTTCATAGACTTTTGCGACTATTGATATCGTTGGAAAAAAATACATTTAGTATATGAAGAAGTACTGTAGTAACAGAATCCTTTTCCGGCCGATAATTTCGATGGTTGTCCATAATGCGATCGTTTGATGTGTTCCATAAGTAGCCTGTTCTCTCAGAAAATTCCAAAACGCCTCCTGCCAACTCCAACAACGCCTACGCGCTTAATTAATGAAAATAAACAATGTTTAGCTATACCGGCTAATATGAAATGTTTAAATGTAGCGACCAACGTTTTTTTTTAACATTATTTAGTTTTATTATTATTTAGTCATACGTCACGAGAACAGGCTACTTATGGAACACATCTCGCGAAAACGGCTAAGAATGTCCGCGCTGTTATAAATCACACAAATTACATTGATCAGTGCTTTTTTGGTAGTTACTAGGCTTGCTCATGTAAGAGAACAGCGACTGAGCCTTAAAAAACCTACAAAAAGCTTAAACGGATAGTCTAGAAGCATTTAAAAAAGTCACGTGATATGTGTTTCATCCCTTCTATTTATTTCTTCCCTCGCCTTTTCGCTCGCGTGCCCGCAATCCTTTCTGTTATTTTCGTTGGAACGTCACGTAATATTTTCGTTTTGTCAATTTATTCGCCATATTTAAACAATCTTTCTAATCATTGTTTCTGAGCATATATAAGCGCCCTGTTTGAAGCTATTCGTTGTAAATGCAAGCTCTTATGATTTATACAAGTATAAGTGCAATAATTTAATCACATCAAGAGAGTTGTTGTTCTACTACCAAGTATCACGCAAAGAACACACACACGCATAGAATGTTCAAACGATAGATGATAGAAGATGTCGACTATATATAATACAATACAAAACATGCATTAATATAAGTTATAACCGCTAAATAGCAAGTCAATATCGTATAGAAAGTATATATATTACCGATTTCTTCCCGCTTGTGTCCGGATCGCACAACCAAAAGTTATAAATAAGAAAACAATAACGCAACAACTAGTACAAATATCCTTCCATAAAAACGTTTTCTTCGCATATATTTTGTCCAGGGGCCTGGCACTAGTGCCGATGGGCAGAGGCGCTTACACCAAGGAATCAAGGAAGTATACTATACATATACATGAATTACAATGCTGGCGGATTTTCAACTTGGTGGTGAAATGACATGACCAATGAGGCACAACGCCGTTTGCACAAGCGCATCATAGCATTGAGAAAAAGTAAGGAGTTTCGTAGGTCATACGATAGTAGCAGACATATTCCCAGAACTCGGTCTTGTCCTTGAAAGCATTTTTACTGCAGGTGATAAGGGCATTGAAGGTGGTTTAGAGTCTCACAGCAGATTAACAACTGACATAATGTATAAAAGTATTGATAACAATCTTTTCATGCGTCAGGCTAGAGAAATTATTTTACAAGTTGCTCCACCAAACTTTTCCATTTCATTGTCGTCTTGCTACAATTACACAGACACCTACAAGGACAACTCTTTTGCTGCAAAAAGACACCATGCAGGAAAGAACATTAACGCTAGAATATCGCTAAAACGCCCACCACGTGATGCAGTTTCTCACTTAGTAGTGAATCTTCATTGGTCCACTGAAGCGGTAAATTTGATGTTGGAGGAAGCTGAAAAAACGCCAAATGACCACGTTATTGATTCCAAAGATGCGAAAGCCATAGTGTGCGGAGATATCCAGCCGGTTCAATATCCTGGAAAATCATGGAAACCCATTTCCTATGAAGATCACACCTTTGACCAAAGCAGGGTAAACGCGGTTGTCCCAATGACTCATTTATTCTTGGATTTAGAAAGTGTTGGTGAGGTTTCGCATGAAGACAATAGAATGAAGAAAATATCGGTCACAAGAACAGGAAAACACGTCACGAGTGTCGTAGCAGACTTAACAGCGAGTGATAGTTTGTTTCAAATAGGACCTACAATACTTTTAGTGCATAATTCATCAACCGATGTCAATAACTTGTTTAATAGGTTCTATAAAATGCTAATGAAAATTGTAAACAAGCACGCACCATTAAAGCCATTGTCTAAACGTAAAGAAAAACAATTTTCTAAACCCTGGATAACAAATGGAATCAGAAGAGCAATTAAAATAAAAAACAAATATTATTTAAATGGTGAGCGCGATAAATATAAGTATTATCGTAGCCTGCGAACAGGCTCTCAAGCTAAAAGCAAGTCTTTATACTCTAACAATACTGAGGGTCTTCCAGGGGTTTGGGGGGAACAAGGGGACATTGTAAATTTTACAATGGGAACACGGGAACAAAGGAAAACAAATTTAGGGAACAAGGGAACACAAAATATTTTGGGGAAAAGGGGAACAAAGCCCCCTTTCCTAGAATATATACAAGAATATGCATGACATAAATGAAAGGGCGTCCATCAACATGTCATTATTTTTCACTACTATAAGTGAAAGTCACAACTATAATACAAGATCTGCTGTTCGCGGTAACCTTTATCAAACTAATTCAAGGTTGCATATTACACAAAAATCTTTTGCTAATACCGGTGTTAAAGTCTGGAATGCTTTATCTATCTCACTCCGTTCGTCAAATAAACATAGTTTTACATCACGTTGCAAGATCATACTTATCAATACCATGATGGCTTGTGATGATTACGTTGATTTCGCCAAAATTTTGCAAACAGTTCCGGGGATTAAATGTAATTAGACAATTTTGTTTTTATTTTCAATATTTCCTTCCGATTTTAATTACGATAATTTATACTATTAAGATAAATTGATACACTATTTATCAATCAATTGAAAGCCACCTACCTCGAATATCTAGCTAAATGTAGGTGGTTTTTTGTAAATTATTTTGGGAAAATTTATATAATAAAGTAGATGTTAGATGTTAGATGTATGACTGAACGAGTCGTACGGTACCATAATGACTATTATTTGTGTGTAGTTGAACATTAATTTCAATAATTTGTTTGTACTTTGTTATTTTACTTTGTTGTTAAAATGTCTTGTTTCTTTGTAGGTGTTACTGCTGAAAAATCAATCCAAGAAAAGAACAGTTGCCATGGTGATGATAGATCAACGATGGGAAACATCCTTGAACCTTCGACAGACAAACTAGAACCCAAACTAGAACTCACAAGATGACGTATTTTGTTTGCACCTCAACTCAGTCCCAGGCCAGTACAACTGCATCTCAAGCACGATCTCAACCTGATAGACTGACGTCATTGCTAGATATAGAGTCGCGGGGAACTACAGACAAGGAGAGAAATACGGTTAACAATATAACCCCACACTCCAAGGAGGGAAAGATAGTTAACACTGTAAACCCGCCATGTACCACATCGAGTAACACTATCTTAGTACAGACACCCACTGGACACCCAAGTACTACAGGTCATCATCGGGACATCATTGGAAATCAAACGAACACAGGCAATGGTATGATTAATTAATTT